AACTTTTTCCATTGAAGGGAATAAAAATTACTAACAGCATATATTGTTTGGTACAGGTAATTCATTGCCGTGTACCCTATTGACATTTAAGGTGAGGTGAGGTGAAATTGGGTTTAACGTCGCGTCCATATTGACATTTAAGAGAATATTCCAAATTTTGAGTTCTTTGCAATTCATTGTTCTCAATTGGAGCCAAACGGACTGTTAAATGACACAATTAAACATTTTGCCAATTTGTTGACAATTTGAAGATCCTCATTTATTTGGGGCTGCTATGTCATAATCTGCAAATAGTTATGACAAACATTGTAAAGCAGTACATTGTTTACATTCATACCGTTAACAATGGTTCTGAAACGAAACCGGGAATGCCTGTTGGTCAGGTAATCATATGTCTGCTTCCATCACCTCCTATCCCCTTTAGTAAATTTCCGTTTTGACAAAAACTTGTGTGTATTGTGTAGGAGAATCAAACTCGCACAAAGGGTTTCGTTATATGATAGAACACCATGTAACAACCCTGAATCCTGGGTCCTGAGCGTCACACGTTTGTTTGTTTGATCCGTGGTAGGCGTGGCTTCGTGACACCCGTCGGCATCTCCCCGAGGCAAGGAAGTTAACTGACTTTAAAAGTCCAGTTTCCACCCTTGCCGAACTAGGCTGGAATTCCTGGGCTCGATCGTAGCGCCACCAGTGGTTATTACGAGTTATGTCCCTTCTAAGCCTCTCCTATGGACCAATCAGATTCAACCTCTCGTACCACTTGCATTTGTTTCAAACAAAAAATGGCGGCACCCAGTCAGGACGATTTGATCGATAATCAAGATCTTTATTGTGATAAAACGGGTCTTATATCGCGAAGTGCTTCAAATCACGTAAGCGCCTTGATAAGAAACATGAAAAGACTTGGAAAATATCTGTTGACAACTAGTTGGCAGTGCACATGCTTTGTAAATCCCGCAATCGACAGACATCTGCACGACAGTTTACGAGCCGGATTTCGATTTCGTTGCGCGATTTGCATTGGACTATGCATAGACTCGTTAGCCCAGCCAAAATGTAACTCCATAATACCAGCCTAGTTCGGCAAGGGTGGAAACTGGACTTTTATGGTCAGTTATCTCCCTTGTCTGATTACTTCCATGACTTTCTCTCCACTTCAGTAAATTTCCTTTCTGACAATACTTATGTAAATTACACGTTGGGTAATCAGGTGTGTGACATCTGGTTAGTTGGTCGATTGGTTGACAAAATGAGAGAGATGAATATATTATAAACTTTGTCTGCATTAATATAGATTTAAATAATATATGTGTGTTGCAGTTTAGTTGTTCAGACCCTGAAAATTCAAGTTCCTGTTTTATCCCCTTTTCAAATTATCTTTTTGTGTAGTTGTAAACCGGAAAATTAAATTATTTCATTACAAATGTAAAACCTTGAAACGTAAATTGTCTCTACCTAACACACACAGGATCGTTTCACCACCCATGGTACTTGCGTCTTAAAATAGTAGTTCCGTGTTTACAAAATCTTAAAAAATATGAACAAAAGTAATAAAAAATATTAAGGGTCATGGCAGATATGATAAGATACAAAATCAACTTCAACAAAACATATTCTTGAAATCTACGAGACCGCTGTTGGTAGCGAAAGGATACACGCTGGTCAAGTCGCAAAAATGGCGCTTTGCGAAACGAACAGTCTTGATAGACGATTTAAATGAGAAATTTACAGTTTATTGCGAAACATTTTCAAGAGAATAACAAACGGTATTAACTCCATAAATGACCATGTGTCATTATTTTGCCTTGTCGATGTGGAGCTAAGGCAAAAAGGAAGTCAATAGTTTGTTTTCGGGCTAGACAGTACGACAAAGGGAGACAATTAAAGGGGAGGTAACTCTTGTATGACAATATTTCCGTCAAAGTGTTATTGTTCACTGCAGTAAAATGTCACTTTTCCTATCTTCGAAAACTGAATCTGGATTTCGGTTATGTTAATAGACAAACTGTTTGGTTTAACCGTATGCATTGGGTATAAGTTCTAAATTTTTGTTTATTTGTTTGTTTAAAGCCACACTCAGCAATATTCCAGCTAAATGACGGCGGTCTGTAAATAATCGAGTGTAGATCAGACAATCCAGTGACTGACATCATGAGCATCGATCCACGCTCTTGAGATACGATGCATGCATCAAGCAAGTCAGAGAGCCTGTCGTAAGTCGCCTCTTACGACAAGCATAGTCGCCTCATGTGCCAATCATGGATTGCTGAAGCCCTATTCTAACCCGGATCTTCACGGTTGTCTAGATTATTGACACTCGTTCGACCACGTGTCTTCCTGTGTGAAGCTTCTATGTTGTGGCCACCCGGTGTTCTTCTCTTAGTATTCGGGAGTCAGGCAAGGTGAACATTTGTCACCGATACTATTTTGGAGTATTTTCTCTCTTGATGGCATTGTCAGTTATCCAGTATGTGTCAGGATTTGGTATGACCTTTGCTTGTGGTAGATTATTTTTGTTTTTGTTGGCCAATGAAGGGTTTAGTTCTGTAGTGGTTTGCAAAGTGGTCTTAATTTTCTCAACACAATATTGTGACAAGTGAGACATCCGCGTTAACACAATCAAAACAAAAGTTGTAATATTTAGAAAAGGCCTAGAATTGCTGGGAGGATATTATGAAACTATAGTGATAATAAGTTAGAAACCTTTTTATAGTTTTGAATATTTAGGTTCTAGTTTTTGCACCAATGGTTAGTTTTTTCAGGCGCAAAAGACTCGGAAAAAGATATAAAAACTTTCTACTCCATTTAAATATGTTGTGCAGCGATATTAACTGTACAGATGTTTAATACCCCCTAATTTGTGTCATGGTTGTGTTATGGTTTATGGAAGCCCCGGCCGTCAATCACTAAGCAACTATTACGTGTTAAAAGTCAGCTTTTGTCCGTTGTGGGAGTTGTATATAGTTAGATTGCTTCGTGTTGCTACTTTTTGTTGTGATGCAAAAAATGAGTATAGACACATTATTACATCAGGCTCTGTTGGAAAATGTGTTGCATAAACCAGAACAAAAACAGGCGTTATCCTAATTAGGTATTTATTATATCGATATGGATATGGTTATGTATGGCTGGCACAGGAAATAATGACAGTGTGTGAGAGAGTTGGGTTTAACCCCGCTTTTAGCAGTATTCCAGTTATATCACGGCGTGTCAGCTTAATGTGGGAGGAAAGCCCGAAGTGATGCAGGTCTCAGACGTTTACCACTTCGGTGAAACCCACGAGCACGGGTATGGTGCTGACAAACTTAGAAACATAATCGGGGCGAACCGGGATTCCAACACACAATCATAGGTTTCTGGCGTGGCCAAGGGACGCAACTCTGCACAGCGAATCGCGGCGCCTGAGACGACTGGGCCACTCGTGCCCCCAGGAAATAATGAAAAGACAGGATTCAAAAGTGAATTTAGGCAAAGAGTATCTTATTCATACACAGATGTGGAGAAACCAGTCAACATCACAAATTGAAACACTATCTCGCAATATCTAAATATAAATCATCCTCTAACTTTGGAATGACATATATCGATAATATATGTATTTAAATATAGAGTAGCTCAAATACTTTGTCGATTGAGTTCACATTCTCTTATGATTGGGGAAAATGGACTTCGGGGGAAGTGGGCGGTGATATTGATGGTTGTCTGTTGTACCTACACGTTATTATGAACTTGTATTTTTGGCTTTGGCTCATATGAGAAATAAATCGCACAAAACTCTGAAAGTTTTCCCGAGACCTTGAATGTTGTAATCGCGATTAAACACCTTGAGCAAGAGTCGAATGATACTCTATGAAATCTTGGTAGAAAGAGCATTCTCGATTGTACCTCAAAAGTTGCGAAATGTAGACATCAAGGCTGGTCAGTGACAAGAATGATGTCCGATGAAATTATTTCCTATTTTGACTTGTACCAAATGTTCCCGGTTTTTTTAAAAGATGAATTGACTTGCCATTGATTTGTTTGTGACGGTTGCCACCTTTTCGCGAGCACCTGGAATGATCCCTATTTGATAGCGATACAAACACATATGCTTATGACACAGTCGGAATCGTACAATCGACTCTGCTTTTACTAGAGATTTCTTGTGAATATGGAAAGGGTTTTGACGCTTTTATCAATATGGTATGGTACCGATAGATTGATTTTACTATGTAGGGAATTGGTAATATAAAACACACGAGACCGGCTCCGTGGTCTAGTGGTAGAGCGTCCGTAGAGGTTGGTTGGTTTGTTTGTTGTTTAACGCCGCACTCAGCAATATTCAAGCTACATGATGTCAGTCTGTAAATAATCGAGTCTGGACCAGACAATCCAGTGATTGACATCATGAGCATCGATCCACGCAACTGAGATCGATGACATGCATCAACCAAGTCAGCGAGCCTGACCACCCGATCCCGTTAGTCGCCTCTTACGACAAGCATGGGTTGCTGAAGACCTTGCCTACCCCGGATCTTGTACTATTTATGTGGTGATCATCAGTACCAGATTGGCCTCTCAAGCAGCTTACATTTAATTATGCTGAGGGGATGTGTCATATACTCCTTTAAGCAAGCGTTCTACTTTCTCTCTATCTTTCAGTAAATAAAAGCGACAAAACCCTTTCTATAATCATACCTCTGCTGGAGTCCATTGTATGATTCCGACTATATCATAAGCATGTGTTCATGAATCACTATCAAATAATGATGATACCATATGTTCGTAAAGGTGGCACCCGTCACAAACACATGCAAAAGCAAGTCAACTGTTTGCCTAAAAAAGACCCCAAAGGAAATGCATCAGACATAATTTTTGTCACTGATGCGTCAAATTTGAAAATGTCCACAGCATGTCTACCGTAATCCTTTTGAAAGCTTCAATAAGGCATTGATAACCTGATTAGAAAAAGAATCAAAGAACCATTCACTTTTAATTGTTGTCAAATTCCATTCCAGGATGGTGTGTCTACTGACTACTAAAATTCTTCTGCTCGCCGCCATACACGTTGTAAACGCTGCAGACGTCTCCATGAAGCGGTTCATTACATACCCAGGATGCACCAGTGACATGGCCCCCGGAAGTGCTCCCATAGCTACTTCATCGACTAGTTCCGGTATAGAATGTTCCACTTTGTGCGCGCGCAGAGATGACTGTGAGGCGGTGAACATCTGTGAAGGCCCGGGATACAATACGTGTGAGCTCCTGGGTGCCCGGAGCGGGGGTTGTGGCGGGCTGGTGCCAAGATCTGGCTGTAAATATAAGGAAAAAGATGTTCAGGTATCGAATATTGCAATACCCATTACCCGAAGGTTATAGCCGAGAGAACAAACATCCGCATCACACAGAGAACCAAAGAGAAAAACACAAATTGAAAAATCAATACAGAAAGGAAAAATACAACAAAACAACAACACGCAATCCTATAAAACGTTAAATCAATGTGAGAATGAATGACTGAGAGTGCCGCACTCAGCCAAGACACAGAGACCGAAAAACATATTAACATGGCTGACAAAACAAGTCAATTACAAAACAAAATAAAGCGTTATTACACCATTAAATCAATGAATCAAACAAACAAACAAAACCCATAAATGATCATCCCATTAAAACATGAAGATCAGATGAACTTCACATAAAGGAACACATTCTCATTCTCATCCTCATCTCATCCATCATCCACAATACTAATGAAACATCTAGGAATAGAAATTTTCAAATTAGATGTATCCACTGCTATTACTGCACGGGTTGATATAATATTGCCCCTCCACAGTATATACATTGTCATTACTGCACGGGTTGATATAACAACGCCCCTCCACAGTGTATACATCGTCATTACTGCACGGGTTGATATAACAACGCCCCTCCACAGTGTATACATCGTCATTACTGCACGGGTTGATGTAACAACGCCCCCCCCACAGTGTATACATCGTCATGACTGCACCGGTTGATATAACAACGCCCCTCCACAGTGTATACATCGCCATTACTGCACGGGTTGATATAACAACGCCCCTCCACAGTGTATACATCGTCATTACTGCACCGGTTGATATAACAAAGCCCCTCTACAGTGTATACATCGTCATTACTGCACCAGTTGATATAACAAAGCCCCTCTACAGTGTATACATCGCCATTACTGCACCAGTTGATATAACAAAGCCCCTCCACAGTGTATACATCGTCATTACTGCACGGGTTGATATAACAACGCCCCTCCACAGTGTATACATCGCCATTACTGCACGGGTTGATATAACATCTCTCCACAGTGTATACATCGTCATTACTGCACGGGTTGATATAACATCTCTCCACAGTGTATACATCGTTATTACTGCACCGGTTGATATAACACCGCCCCTTCACTGTGTATACATTGTCATTACTGCACGGGTTGATATAATAACGCCCCTCTACAGTGTATACATCGCCTTTAGTGCACGGGTTGATATAACAACGCCCCTCTATAGTGTATACATCGCCATTACTGCACGGGTTGATATAACAACGCCCCTCTATAGTGTATACATCGTCATTACTGCACCGGTTGATATAACAACGCCCCTCCACAGTGTATACATCGTTATTACTGCACGGGTTGATATAACAACGCCCCTCCACAGTGTATACATCGTTATTACTGCACGGGTTGATATAACAACGCCCCTCCACAGTGTATACATCGTTATTACTGCACCGGTTGATATAACAACGCCCCTCTACAGTGTATACATCGTTATTACTGCACGGGTTGAAATAACAACGCCCCTCCACAGTGTATACATCGTTATTACTGCACGGGTTGATATAACAACGCCCCTCCACAGTGTATATATCGTTATTACTGCACGGGTTGATATAACAACGCCCCTCCACAGTGTATACATCGTTATTACTGCACGGGTTGATATAACAACGCCCCTCCACTGTGTATACATCGTCATTACTGCACGGGTTGATATAACAACGCCCCTCTACAATGTATACATCGTCATTACTGCACGGGTTGATATAACAACGCCCCTCCACAGTGTATACATCGTTATTACTGCACGGGTTGATATAACAACGCCCCTCCACTGTGTATACATCGTCATTACTGCACGGGTTGATATAACAACGCCCCTCTACAATGTATACATCGTCATTACTGCACCGGTTGATATAACAACGCCCCTCCACAGTGTATACATCGTCATTACTGCACGGGTTGATATAATAACGCCCCTGCACAGTGTATACATCGTCATTACTGCACCGGTTGATATAACAACGCCCCTCCACAATGTATACATCGTCATTACTGCACGGGTTGATATAACAACGCCCCTCCACAGTGTATACATCGTCATTACTGCACGGGTTGATATAACAACGCCCCTCCACAGTGTATACATCGTCATTACTGCACGGGTTGATATAACAACCGGCCTCCACAGTGTATACATCGTCATTACTGCACGGGTTGATATAACAACGCCCCTCTACAGTGTATACATCGTCATTACTGCACGGGTTGATATAATAACGCCCCTGCACAGTGTATACATCGTCATTACTGCACCGGTTGATATAACACCGCCCCTACACAGTGTATACATCGTCATTACTGCACGGGTTGATATAATAACGCCCCTGCACAGTGTATACATCGTCATTACTGCACCGGTTGATATAACAACGCCCCTCCACAATGTATACATCGTCATTACTGCACGGGTTGATATAACAACGCCCCTCCACAGAGTATACATCGTCATTACTGCACGGGTTGATATAACAACGCCCCTCCACAGTGTATACATCGTCATTACTGCACGGGTTGATATAACAACCGGCCTCCACAGTGTATACATCGTCATTACTGCACCGGTTGATATAACAACGCCCCTACACAGTGTATACATCGTCATTACTGCACGGGTTGAAAAATAACGCCCCTGCACAGTGTATACATCGTCATTACTGCACCGGTTGATATAACAACGCCCCTCCACAATGTATACATCGTCATTACTGCACGGGTTGATATAACAACGCCCCTCCACAGTGTATACATCGCCATTACTGCACGGGTTGATATAACAACGCCCCTCCACAGTGTATACATCGTCATTACTGCACGGGTTGATATAACAACCGGCCTCCACAGTGTATACATCGTCATTACTGCACGGGTTGATATAACAACGCCCCTCTACAGTGTATACATCGTCATTACTGCACGGGTTGATATAACAACGCCCCTCTACAGTGTATACATCGTCATTACTGCACCGGTTGATATAACAACGCCCCTCCACAGTGTATACATCGTCATTACTGCACGGGTTGATATAACAACGCCCCTCCACAGTGTATACATCGTCATTACTGCACGGGTTGATATAACAACGCCCCTCCACAGTGTATACATCGTCATTACTGCATGGGTTGATATAACAACGCCCCTCTACAGTGTATACATCGTCATTACTGCACGGGTTGATATAACAACGCCCCTCCACAGTGTATACATCGTCATTACTGCACGGGTTGATATAACAGCGCCCCTCCACAGTGTATACATCGTCATTACTGCACGGGTTGATATAACAACGCCCCTCCACAGTGTATACATCGTCATTACTGCACCGGTTGATATAACAACGCCCCTCCACAGTGTATACATCGCCATTACTGCACGGGTTGATATAATAACGCCCCACCACTGTGTATACATCGCCATTACTGCACGGGTTGATATTACAACGCCCCTCCACAGTGTATACAACAACGTGAAATTGATTTCTTCTACAGGAACACAACCCGTGCTATAACGGGGGCACCTGGTTCTACGCCCAGCCCTGCCTGTGTCTGCCCGGCTGGGCGGGATACTACTGTCAAAGAATAGTTCGAGGTAACGTGTATTACCGTATTTGACGTAATAAACGCCCAGTGCGCTCTCAAAATTAGAAATAGGGGCCTCTTATTAGAATATTATTTGGGTGAAAAAAACAACAGAATTAGAACATAAATTTTCTTGGTTTATGCTGACAGCCTGAAATGTTTACATACGACACATATATTTTTTCAGAGTTTAATTGCCTATAATTAAGGGTGCATATAACACGTATTATACACGATAATAAGTCTTGTGTACATTGATCAATCGGAAGAAGTCTTAATTGGGATTGTTCACTAGCTAATATATTAGCAAATATCGCCGTGGGCGCTTATTAGAGCGGGACGCTTATTACGTCGAATACGGTATCCTAAAATAGATGGTGTTGTCGATGAGATAAACCAACCTGTTAAACTTTGTGTCACGATCTGATAAATATGCAAATAAGGTTACGTAGAAGGGGCTACTCATATAATCCTTATACATGGATGCAACTATTAGGTTGTTAAACTACCTGCTGATAAAAAATCGCAATGATGTTACTCTATGACGTCATATGGGTGGTGAGATAACACGCGACCGGAGTTTTAGATAATTTAAACTGACCTACATTTGTAAATTCCTACTAATCCAAGGTATCGTGGTTTCGATTTCGACGTTTTCAACTTTAAGACATTCTCGTGATGTCAATCACTGGATTGTCTGGTCCAGACTCGATTATTTATAGACCGCCGTCATATAGCTGGAATATTGCTGAGTGCGGCGTTAAACAACAAACAAACAAACAAACAAACAAACAAACAAAGAAGACATTCTACGGATTATATTTAATGAATGTGAAAAAGTTATGAAGCGTACAACGTCGAAATTAAGACACGATATCCAAATAATAAAACTTCAGTTAGCAGGCAGATAAATTATTGTTTGAATGTCCTGATTCCAAGTTGTTAGGGTGTCCGATCCTAGTCAATATTTTAACATGAAGTAAGGTCGTAAGTACAAGGAACACCACCTTTGCTATTCATGGATCCATCGACATCGCTATCACATACTTTAACACCGATTTTCATCCTTAGCTATTTTCTCGATAGTTTCCCCTGCTTGGGAATCATGCAGGACGCTTAGACGACATAAATCCCCACGATGCCCATCGAGATCGCCTATCTTTGGTTGTTATTAGTTTATAGCCCGTTTAAAATAGTTGTAAAGAATATTGTGATGCTAACTGGATATATTTGACAAATTTGCTTTTAAATTTAACTTCTGTGTATTCACATGACGTGCTTGTAGATGGAAAAACGCCTCCATATGTCTGAAATAATGCCGTTGCGATGTTACATTTTTACTCACTCACTCTTGGGGGCACGGGTGGCCCAGTCGTCTAAGGCGCCGGGATTCGCTGTGTAGAGTTCCGTCCCTTGGGTACGCCAGAAACCTATGATTGTGGGTTTGAATCCCGGTTCGTCCCGATTATGTTTCTAGGTTTGTCAGCACCATACCCGTGCACCTGGGTTTCACCGAAATGGTAAACGTCTGTGACCTGCATCACTTCGGGCATTAAGCTGACAAGCCGTGATATAACTGGAATACTGTTCAACGCGGCGTTAGACCCAACTCAATCACTCACTCACTACACATGTCGTAACTCACAATATTTAACATAGACAAGAATCGTTCCTGTTCTTGTGGTAGTGCCCCTAATATTCACAAAGCCTTCGCAGCAATTGACGTTGTTCTTAAAGCTGTTCTTTCATGATGTCACTTACGCTATTACATGCTTGCCGTAAAAGGGGACTATGCTTGTCGTAAAAGGCGACTAACGGGATCGGTTGGTCAAGCTCGCTGACTTGGTTGATGCATGCCATCGATCCCAATTGCGTGGATCGATGCTCATGATATTGATCACTGGATTGTCTGGTCCAGACTCGATTATTTACAGACCGCCGTCATATAGCTGGAATATTGCTGAGTGCGGCGTTAAACAACAAACCAACCAACCAACTTACGCTATTCACAATACAGTCCAAGCAGTATGCTTAACGTATCGTATATACATATCATCCCCACAAAGCGATCGTAGCGCTAAGATGATCGTAACTCCCATACTTTAACATAGACTTACGACAGACTTAGCGCTAAGATCGCTTTGTGGAACTGGGCCAAGGGCCCCGTTCCACAAAGCGATCTTAGTGTTACGACTGTCGAAATTCCAATACAGACAATCCACGACTTACGCTACGGCTGCGTTACTGCTTTCGTTCTGTTGCTAGATTGCAAGGAGGGGCAGGAGTCTGGTCAAACTGGAGGGAAAGTGTCCACAATCCAACCAATAAAGTGTCCGCACTCATTTGAAGCTTACTGCGTCTTCACCTGGGGTTCCATGTACTTCCTGAGGAGGAACCACCCCTTTACTGACATCAGTGTCTGTGCCGGAAACGAGCTCGACCCAAACATGGACTGGAGCGGTTTCAACTCACAGTTCGGCGACGTCAGATGCGACTATTTCCTGGGCCTTCAACGCCTATGGCACGTCCTTCGCCAAGGCAGTTACGACCTCCACATCTACCTTCAATACTATGAAAACCCAACAGACAAAGATCCAAAAATTGCCAATATTTATTACTGGAACTTCCGGCTAGGATCGGACTCGGAAGGTTACCCTATCCAGTACAGCTCCTTCTCATCCGCTGATAACGCAGAGGACGGTTTGATGTTGGGGTCGTTTACTCCGACCAAGTTCTGCACTCGTGACCGGGACTGTGGTACTTGCGCGCAGGACAGGGGAGTCGGGTGGTGGTACACGCCCAACTGTGATAACTTCCCCCTGACCTTGGAGAAGGGGACAGTTTTATGGCCAATCGACGGAGCAAATCGGACGCTGAGTCTAGCCGTGATGCAGTTCTCGCCCACCTCGTACTATTGGTAGAGCAGGGACGTCGATGTATGCGGCCTTCAGCAGAGCAACCACTGGGAACATATCATTTATTCTGTATATATTTTCGATTAATATAATGTATTATTAATCGTTAAAGGACATAACCTAGTCTAAATATTTAAAGTAAAAAAATGGTGATGCATATCATGTTATCGTCCCGAATTGTACTGAATTTAAAGGGGCACTGATCTAACGCAATTCCCCGGACTGGTTGTTGCCTTTGTTATTGTTTTTTCCCCCGTGAGTACCCGGATGATACGCAACGCAACTGAGCGTGACCAGAGACTGGGCTACCGTCTGCAAGGACAGCTAAATAAACTTGGAGGCTGGAGGCAATATTTGTTTTACGCATTTTTGCATAAACACTGATTTGTTAACCGTGATCTAAAAAGATTTCGACAAAGGGCTCATGTTAATTAATTTCTTCAGCCTAAACTAACAGACAAAAAGAACGGCGGAGCTCATCGGATGTCGTCATTTGGAAATACCCCAGATGGTTATAGTTAACACTAAAAAAAGTATCCATGCAGTGAAAGCATTTTCGGTTTTCGGATTGCGTCGATAATACGATTACTACTCCCTTGTTGTCATCCACGTTTTCTCGCATAACCCTACACTTGTGTATTAGTCGTCATTCACTTGATGCTCAGTTAATGAATTTATTACAGGTACAATTAGTGGTAGCACCACATAGATTACCTGACAAAGGTTCCCATTTGGCATTTATTGTGTCTGGGGTAATTATTCAATCTAAATCCAGGTTTGAAGTGAGGTGAAATGTGTGTTATGTAATATGCACGTGGCAGACCAGCAAGAGGTGAATGATCAGTTGATTTACTTTTTTTTGTAAATCAACGGATCGTTCCTAGTCATCAAAGGATTAACAGAAAATACGTTGATTGATTAATCACTGTTATCTTGCACAGTGGATATGTCAAAAGTGAGTGTTTACATGTCTAGGTTTACTAAAACAAAGGGAATACACACATATCCTTGCGTGAAGTGCCGATGTAAAAACAACATAGTTGTTCAAAGGGTGAACTGATAATACGTTGATTGATTGATCATTGTTATCTATCACTCAATGGATTTTTTAGGAACCGTGGACGTTATGAAAATAGTTGTCACGTGGGCTTTCTCAGCTGACCCTTGAGACTTGACACCTATGTGAAACACCTGAAACAATCCAAGTGATCAGTTGAGAAACGAACACGGGTTATAATATCCCGAAACGATATATATCTTTTAAAATATGTGATTGTTGCAGAGACACGTGACATCGAATAGGTTTCTTTGTACAGCTGCAGACGAATGGGATATTGTTCCTTTGTGTGGATATTCACGGATACATTCCTCGAACAAGGAAGCTGCCTAAAATTTATACACATAAATTTGGTAGGTTGTAATTATGGTATTTGCATTTTGTTTTCCTTCATTTGCTGTAGCATTGAACCGATTCGTCCTTGTTCCTCTACGTCTTGGTTGGGAAATTCTTCAATGCGCGATATACCTTGTTTTCACAGGCCTTTTCCCTTGTAAGCGTGTATATATTACCGTCAATTTGTAAAATGTAATTCTCTCAGGCAATTTATAAAATGTGTAAATATTTCAGTCATTTTGACTAAAAAATCTGTCCAGATTGATTAAGGCGATCAAAAGGGCCTACAAACATCACAACAGATTATTATGTAGGATTAGAAGCCAAACAACATAGAAATGTACTTTTCAACGTAGCATTTTCAGTCTCTTGGTGATGACATTAAACATCAAAATGTTTGGAATTCGTTATCATAATAATACAGATGGAAATGTTTTTCAGTCACTTTGTTAAATAACTGAATATTTAGGCGTTGAATAAATTTGAAAATGTTACACATTTTGACAGTAAAAATTATACACACTATCAAAAAGCAATGCTCAGGTGAAATATTTACTTTGTGTTGCAAGTCAAAATAGTGTAAACGAAAATCGCAAAATTACCAAGCAAGTGACTTATCAAAACTTCGTCACCATTACCGATGCTAACCACAAAGATACCTACATTTCCTTATTATCTCCAAAACTGTATTTCATTTTGTTGATCAATGTGACCATACGCCCTCTATATTACTACCCATACAAGTGACTAATGCGCTTACGAATGGCGCAGCAGAGGTCGCGAACTAGTCTAGAATTCTGCTATACATCCGGGTACTCACTGGGAAAAAACAATAACAAAGGCAACAACCAGTCCCGGGGAATTGCGTTAGATCAGTGCCCCTTTAAGCAGGTATTAAAGGGATGGTAAACGGACAAAAATAAAGATTGCGATTTTGTGAATATCAAGTTTCCTAGATACATTAAGTCAGTTTCAGAGAGCGAAAAATTAAAATACTTAAATGTCCAAGTGAAAGTGCTAAAATCACACTCTCCGTAATCGGCATCCAAAACAAACGTATTTGGGGGCGTGGCCTAGAGATCCCTCCTATTGACCAATCGCATTCTACATCTAACATCACTTGCATTTGCTTCAAAATGGTGGCGCCAAGTCAAGATTATCTGCTTGATAATCAAGATCTATATTGTAATAAAACGGGCCTTACCTCGCGAAATACATCAAATTATTTGAACACCTTGATTAAAAGCATTACTAGATTTGGAAAAAAATATTTGTCGACGCCCAGTTGACGGCCGAATGCTTTGCAAATCCTGCAGTCGATCGAAATCTTCAAGTTGAAATCCATGTTGTTTACGAACCGGATGCCTAGATCGTTGTGCGATTTTGACTGGACTATGCATAAACTCGTCCAGCCAACATGTTACTCCAGAAATTCCAGCCTAGTTCGGCATGGGTGGTAAAGGGACTTTTACAGTCAGTTAACTCCCTTGCGTTGGGTGGATGCAAGCTCCTTCCCAGCGCGTGAACCTTCGTTACACTCTCGCGTTTATGTTCTCGTAAACTGAACCGGAAATAGAAATCAGCTGTACGCACATTTTCTACCACTCTGCCGGTGATTCGGTTAAAAAGAACCCAATATATACAAAGAATTTTGATGCAATGGTCGCATGAATAGTATCTTAAACTATTATTTTATCAGATATGAAATATTCGAACATCGAGTTATTTTGGTTGCGGCTTTTACAATACACACACACACACACACACACACACACACACACACAAATGAGGCAAATGTTCACTCGGTGTACATGTAATATATAATACAATAATAAAGTCTACGTTAGTCCAACATCTTCTTTATATAAGTTTCAGACAGATCATGAAAGTGACAGTCGGAATGTGTTTTCAAACCATGCAACCTCGAAAACGTTAACACGGGGTATTCCGAACGACAGTTACGGCCCCTACGACTGATTCTGTCAAAATTCTCTCTCACTTCCGTGGGATAAATGTTTGAACGAAGGTGGCGTTGCACAGTACGTGGGAAGTACTGCCATACAATCTCAACCATATATTAGACATTCCAGAATGTTTGTTTGTTCAGTTTTCAAAATTTTAATCGAGAACTGTGTCAACATATTTTTCAAGCGTGGTCTGAAATGAAAGTCGCTTTCTAATTGGCTGATGTCGACTTCTTGCTAGTCATTTCAGTGGTCGGTCAAAGTTCGCGAAAGGTCGTTTTGACATGACCCGTAATGGGATGTCCTCAGATCTTTGTGTAGCGATAGCGAGAACTAAGATCTGATTTTAATGAGATTGCATTTATCCCTAACCCTGTGTCCATAGTTCACTCGCCACGTACTTGTCTGTTTTCATCAATACGGGGGCAGTCGGGTAGCCTAGTGGTTAAAACGTTCGCTCGTCACGCCGAAGACCCGGGTTCGCATCCCGACATGGGTACAATGTGTGAAGCCCATTCCTGGTGTCCCCCGCCGTGATATTGCTGGAATATTGCTAAAAGCGGCGTCAATCTCTACTCACTCACTCTTCAAAACGGTCAAAACCTATAATGTCTGTTTTCTGCCGTTTCTAACCCAGTCTTTTTTTTCTCCAACAGTGTCTTTTTTTCACCTGTTTTCTCTAATCAAGTGTTTTACTCCAGTTTTGTTTCGCACATTGTCTAATACCAGAGCTACACATAACTTTTTGAGCAATTGAGTTTTTACTCTTGGGTTTCTATTTTAATTGGGTTATTACATTTTTCATTGGGTAAACAATATTTTTTCACTCATCATTTTATCACTCTGCTGGGTTTTCCCAAAATTTTAAGATTTAAAAAAAATTGAAATAAGGTTTAAAACGTATATAACTGTTCTAAATATATACGCTTGACTGAAAGTAAATTAGCTTGTAATTGTGTTTTGGAAATTAGCTCCTTTGTACAAATGCTGAAAGAGCTTCATTGGGTATTTACGCCTGCCGTTTTTATACCTTTGAGTTTTTCATTTGTATGCAAGTTAATTGAAAGTAATTGTGTTTTGAATATTTTTGGGCGGTATATTTTGGGGCAAATAGGCAACTTATCTGTAGCTCTGAATACAGGGTCTATTTTCTCCAATTATCCAACACAGTCTCTCCTTTCTCTAAACCAGTGTCCGTACTTCTTATGAACTGTTTGTTGTTTAACACCGCACTCAGCAATATTGCAGCTATACGACGGAGGTCTGTACCAGACAAACCAGTGATTGACATCATGAGCATTGATCCACGCAATTGGGACATTATGACATGCATCAACCAAGTCAGTGAGCCTGACCACCCGATCCCATTTGTCGCCTTTTACGGCAAGCATGGTTTGCTAAAGGCCTACTGTACCCCGGATCTTCACGGTCCTCACACAGTACCTTTCTTGTACTTGAAACCACCAGTGCCCCCCATCATCATAAAAACAAAACAAAATAAAAAACAAGTTCATTTCTTTTGTATTTAATATATATATAATTTGTACACTTTAACACGATAGAGTTCATTTATCAGGATACTAGATTATAGAAAGCTTAGATAAATGGGATCCATAATTTTAACATGTTCTGTTAAGAAAATTGACAAAACAATTTTACAACATCAAGAAGGGATGTTTTGTTTATTTCTCAGATGAATAAAAATATTATTTAGGATCAGGTATATAAATAAAAATATACCAAATATAATAGCTCCCTGCTTATCCATAACATCCCCAAGAGTCTCCTCATCACAAAAATCTTTACATCAACAATATTTGCCACATGGTAAAAAGTAGATGATGAAACAGATTCTGTTGATAGGCAATTACCGTATTCGACGTAATAAGCGCCCAGGGCGCTCTCAAAATTAGAAATAGGGGCTCTTATTAGAATATTCTTTTGGTGAAAAAAAAACAGAATTGAAAGATAAATTTCGTGGTTTATGCTGACAGCCTGAAATGTTTATGTACGACAGATATATTTTTTCTAAAATTTAATTGCCCATAATTAAGGGTGCATATAACACACGAGTGCGTATTGTACGCGAATTAATAAGTCTTGTGAACATTGATAAATCGGAAGGGGTGCTAATTGGGATTGTTCACTAGCCAATATATTAGCAAATACATGTACCGCCATGGGTGGGCGCTTATTAGAGCGGGGCGCTTATTATGTCGAATACAGTAAGCACTAAAAACATTAGAGATTGGGGATAGCCTCGTGGTTAAAGCTTTGGCTCCTCACGCCAAAGACCTGGGTTCAATTCCTCACATGGGTTACAATGTGTGAAGCATTTCTGGTGTCCCCGGCTATGATATTGCTGGAATATTGCTAAAAATGGCATACAACCATACTCACTCACTCATTAGAGATTAATAAAGGCTCTCATATGCCAACATTGGAATTAATATTTCAATTGTAATAATGACCTGATAATTAGATCTAATCTGGGTAAGACGAGGCTGCTTGTCTGTTAATCTGGACAGTTTTTGCCAAAACCTTTAGTAGTAGTGTTAAAACAAGTAGTCTGAATGACTAGATGGATTTGACACATGGTGTCTGTCCATGCTGATAATGACTTATGGGGACACGTGACACACTGTGTATGCCAACCTCATATTGAGGCAGTGGGAATAGCTGGGATAATCAGGACTCCATTGGTAGATTTCCCAACACTTATTACCATGACCATCGTGGACTGTATGTGACATGACTGTATGTGACATGACTGTATAATACAACTGGTCATGACACTGGAAATCACTGTGAATTGAAATTGTTTTCCCAAGGGATTCTTCAGCTCTCTGCCATGTCAAGCAACTTGGCAACCTACTTAATTAACGGAAGGCAATAATGCAGAGCTCCAGATAAGCTGCGTATCTACGTAAAATACGCATCAGAAATGCAGAAATACGCAGTAAAATAATATCCAAGCGTATCAAATACGCAACGAACATTATAGATACGCTACAAAAATAAAACTTGTGCGTATATTCAAAATATTGTGAAGTAACCCTGCGTATTCGATTGGCAAATCAGCAACTTATTTTGAAATTATAAACGGGCATTCTGTCAACCTTGCCAAACTCCACGATGACAGTTACATCATGATTATTTGGCATCACACTTTCTTGTGGAAGTATCGTGGTATTTTTGAGTCCTATAAAGCTCTCGAAAACCACACAACACTAGTTTGCAGGGACTAGATGAATAGTGTTTTTAAATATTTAACTTAAATACCCACATGTGTAAAAACTAGTGGGTAACAGAAATTTGAATACCCAGATAGAATAGCTGATACGCAGTGATTTTAAAATGCATGGGTAAAATACCCACAACACCAAAAGCTTATCTGGAGCTCTGATCATGTCATGTAGAAATCACTATACAGCATTATTGTCAACGATTGTGATTTACAAGCGGAAAAACAACAAAGTCATATTCTTTGGACACAATTTGCACTGGTATTAATATATAAACTAAAGAGAAGTTAAAGCACACCCAATTCTTTCATATGACTATAGTTAATCAGTGATGCCATGACAGATCAATAATAGTAATATGAAAGAATTGGGTGTACATTAAGGCTAAAAAACTAAGTCTTGGTTCTCAGACGCTGCCCACATCATCATAAAGTCTGCCGTACGTTTCGTTTTTATTTCCATTTTCACACACACACACACACAAATCCTAATACACACACAGATCCAAAATAGCACACAGTTACTTCCCTTTACATGCTCGCTGCTTAACTGCGCATCTCGTGTTATTGCAATGGCTGCAATAGGAGGTTGTTTATGAGGGAGGTTCTTTCCCAGGTTGAAGGTACACAACTGTTTATTGGTTACCTACTAGTTTGAACAAGCTAAAAAAACAAACCCCATCTCCCGCCCACACTATATTTTCAAAAATCATTGCCTGAGAACCAGTTCTTATATTTTTTTTAAGCCTAACCTTTTTGGAGTAGTGTATTTCACTTTATCATATTGGCAGAATTTGGTGCAAGATAGTGCAATGATTCTGCCAAAGTTGTGGAGGTTGGCAACTGCAACCACTGGTCTATATGGGGTTCTGGGAGCGGAAGTGTGTCTGAAGGTAGTTGGCCTTGCAGCCCAGTCTCATGAAGTGGCGGTGCTTCAGTCTCTGCATGTAGCCCAGGTCCTTCACGCGCTGCTGACTCACCACACCTGCAACAGGCAAATCAGATGACAACTTTGCCCGTCGGATCTATAGTCTGGAAGGTTGGTTTGGTTTGTTGTTTAACGCCGCACACACCAATATTCCAGCTATATGACGGCGGTCTGTAAATAATCGAGTCTGGACCATACAATCCAGTGATTAATATCATGAGTATCGATCCATGCAATTGGGATCGATGACATGCATCAACCATGTCAGCGAGCCCGACCACCCGATCCTGTTAGTAGCCTCTTACTACAAGCATAGTCACCTTTTACGGCAAGCATGGTTGCCCCGGAATCTTCACGGGTGTGCAATAGGCAGATCATATCTCGTTTGATCATCCAAAACAATAGAGATATGGCTTGGGTGAGATCAAGCGGTATCTACATTGTAGATGTCACTGCAATGAAATTGCATCACAATGCTTTCCAGACCATTGTGGTGTCATTGGTTACCATGACGTTACAATCAAATGACATCACTAATGGCTCTGCTAGTGAAGCTGTTAGCAGTACTTTTTACACTGAAGACACTGCTAATTACTTTCTACAAATTGAAAAAATTGAAAGAAAGATGTTAAATGATAAATAAAATCTCACCCGTGTGTCTTTTGATATCAAATATATCAACACTCGTCGATAAAAGTTTAAAACTCCTTGGCAAGCCTCAGAGTTTTTCCACTTTTTTAAACGAGTGTTGATATATTTGATATCAAAAGACACTCGGGTGAGATTCTATAGAACACAGTCGTCTTTCACATTACAGGGACAAAATAAGGACTTCCTGCTTCACGAAATTAAACCAAAATCAGTGTTGACACTCCAAGTTATGGACAGTAGGTGTTCTTCAATCAAACTGATTTCCAATGAATGGGGGGTCTGAAGTGGGGTGTGATGTGGGGCACAAGGATTTCTTCAAAGCGTCATAGCCAGACACACACACTGTAGCCCACAAGCAAACCTTCCATTCCTGCGGTTATCAGCTGCAAGGATTATGCAGAGCTGCAGGTTCAGTCATCAGGTCTTAAATCTGTTTAGCAGTAAAGGGGAGGTGAAATGGGGTCTTTTAACATCTTTTGGCCGGGGTTCGAACTACTGACCTTGTACTCTCCAGGCAGGCGCTCTATTCACCCGACAATGGACGCGGTCATTTAGCAGTAAAAAGAGGCAGTGCCCCACCGTCTTTGACCATTTCTGATCTTTGTCTATAACCTCTAAATTGTTCATGTTTGAGCTTGTCATCCTGGTGGATATCCACCAAGTTTCAAAGACCAAAATCCAAAACATGAATCGAAAGTTTATTGTTGGTCCGTTTTAATTGAACTGAGACATTGTGTCACAAGGGTAATCAATACCTGACAGTTGGATTGACATCACAACATGTGAGATAGCAGACACATACAATGGTGTTTGATTGACTTGAACTAAATTTGCTAGGACAGAAAGACAACCAATTTCCCACCTTAATTAGCTCCCATACACAAATATAGTTTGTTTGTTTGTTGTTTAACGCTGCACTCAGCAATATTCCAGCTATATGACGGCTGTCTGTAAATAATCGAGTCTGGACCAGACAATTCAGTGATTGACATCATGAGCATTGATCCACGCCATCGGGATCGATGACGTGCATCAACCAAGTCAGCGAGTCTGACCACCCAATCCAGTTAGTCGTCTCTGACGACAAGCATAGTCGCCTTTATTGCGAGTATGGGTTACTGAAGACCTATTCTACCTCGGATCTTCACGACTTATGAGACTTGTAGAGCTGAGATGATCGTAACTCCTTGATTGGCATTCTAGAAGTTGGTAAGTAAGATAAACGTACAACTTAATGGACAACAACTTCTGGTTTATTGTAAATAGCCATGAGTAGTTACCCGCACCAAAGAACGTAAGATTTCAACAGCCAAAGCAGACAGCAAACCTGTCCTCTCAGATCACCAGCAAAAATTCCCTGGCAATCACATCTCTGCCTATGAAGATCTTATTAAGTAATAGACTATGTTAATTAGCATCCAATCAGCTTGTCACAACTGCATAATCCTTAATACTTATCCTCACTGTACATCTGGCTTCATTACCTGTGTGCTTCATTACCTGTGTGCTATTTTTTATTCTTACTGTACATCTGGCTTCCTTACCTGTGTGCTTCATTACCTGTGTGCTATTTTTTATTCTTACTGTACATCTGGCTTCCTAACCTGTGTGCTTCATTACCTGTGTGCTATTTTTTATTCTTACTGTACATCTGGCTTCCTTACCTGTGTGCTTCATTACCTGTGTGCTATTTTTTATTCTTACTGTACATCTGGCTTCCTTACCTGTGTGCTTCATTACCTGTGTGCTATTTTTTATTCTTACTGTACATTTGGCTTCATCCAATCATCTACATGTTATCTATTACCTGTTGTTGTCAATGTTAGTCTGCTGCTTATCACAAAATATCAACATATATATAAACCTCTCATCACTTGGTTGTTGTCACTCCAGCATAATGGTGTAAGAATCTATATCGTAACATCGCTATATGCAATAAAGCAGAAGTTGCTGTCTATAAAGTTGTACGTTTTTCTTATTTTTTCTTACTGCTTATATAAACACAGACTTACGGCGCTGTTCTGGGCCTGTTCCACAAGGCGATCTTAGCACTATGACTGTCCTAAGTCCATGTTATAGTACAGGAGTTACAATCACCTTAGCGCTACGATCGCTTTGTGGAACAGGGCCCTGAATGACAACTGTCATCTCACCTGTTGCTCCTGTCCAGCCTAGAGCCTTGTACTGGGCCAACATTCGGGGGACTATTGACCGTGTTTCCCTTCGTGTTGGTGGCACATTCTGGCGGTAGTATTTCGCAAGAGACCGATGACCAAGTGTGGCTCCTGAAGACAAACAAACGTATGAGATCATTTACAGTGAGACTTACTATAGCCAGCAACCGACCTGTAAATAATCAAGTCTGGGTGAGTGAGTGAGTGAGTGAGTTGGGTTTAACACCGCTTATAACAGTATTCCAGTTATATCACGGCGTGTCAGCTTAATGTGGGAGGAAAGCCTGAAGTGATGCAGGTCTCAGACTTTTACCACTTCAGTGAAACCCACGAGCACGGGTATGGTGCTGACAAACCTAGAAACATAATTGGGGCGAACCGGGATTCGATCCCACAATCATAGGTTTCTGGCGTGCCCAAGGGACGCAACTCTGCACAGCGAATCGCGGCGCCTTAGACGACTGGGCCACCCGTGCCCCCTCTGGGTAATTGAAACTTGAGCAGCGGTCAACGCTGTTGGGGTGTGACGACACAAAACCAGTGAGTGAGAGATATGTGTTCACTGTAACTGATAGGGAGCTGGGGAACTATTCGGACACAGAATCAACATGGCACCATTAGAAAATAACAACGAGCTACGAGGAATAACGGATTATTTATCCCGAGTAAATAAATGGGGTAGTTTCCAAACTTTTGGCGAGGGACTTACAGCATTCATTCATTCATAGATATACCATAATTCGAAGTCTGAAGTAGGTTATTCAATATATTCGGGAATGTTGTAATGTTTTTCAAATTTCTTCATTATTCTCATACAACTATTACTAAAAACTAAAATCTCTTACAATTTTGGAAACTTTAAGTTATTTTGGAGTATCCCCTACTTCTTTTACAGTGTATATATCAAAACTCATCGATAAAAGTTTAAAACACCTTGGCAAGCCTCAGAGTTGAAATTTTTGCGACTCATGTAGACATATTTAATATACTCCAGTGAGATTCTCTGTGTTGGTAAATTGGTAAACATAAAAACCTACTGCATCATGATAAATGGCTGTATCATCCCACGTCTACGATGCATCCTCTCATTCTGTAACCAAGGCAACACTTACCTGAAGGAAGGACAAGCTCGTAGCCGTCACTGATGAGACTCTCGGGCTCCACTGCATCTTCCATGTCAATGTCCCCGCTGCCCCCCACGGCGGCAGTTCCTGACCCCTCCTCTTCTGGGTAGCTGCTCCTGTTTTCAAAAGACAACTCAAGTGTAACAGCCTTACTTAATTCCACATTACCAGTTACAGGTGGTTATAATAATAAACATTAACATTAGGGCTGGAATGGGTAACTCAGGTACTCGGGTCAGGTGGGTACTGAGTAGGACCCGGGTACCTGCAGGACTACCCAGATCCATGGTTAGTCACGTGATTATATTGCTTAATCGCAAAAATTATCTAAAACTCTATGTTTACACTATAAATGACAAATGTTCACATTTCTTTCTGACTATGCACACATTCCTTCTGACTTTATATGTTTGCATAAAGATAAAACTTCAGTCAACTTCAGTGTATGCAAGACAAGAACATTTTATACATGTATCTAAATACATTTTGACAGGGGTACGGTCAAACGTTACCCATTCTGACCTTTTGTACCTATCTCTTGAGACCAACACTGCGTACCTGGGTAGGGTCGGGTAATAGGGGGCTGGGTCCCCGGGTAGTAAATTTGGACTCGTCCCAGCCCTAATTAACATGTATAGGGAGTTGGGGTCGAATATCGGTCTCTGAACAGGTCTAGATACATCCCCGTTATCCCTGGTCAACTGGGGGTTTGGTGGCCAGGTCTCACCACTGTCATCCTTGTCACTCATTGAACCCACTAATCTAATACGTCTGCTTTTGTCACAGGATATTTGAATCCACCAAGTAACAAATATGATGAGAATTATCAAGACCTGCTTGGATGCTGATATTTGGCCTCAAGTCTGGATCCAATATTGGTACTAATTCCCAAATTGGAATTGGAAATACAAATTACAAAGTTATGTTGTCATGATAATGTCTTTGAAGAGGAGACTTGTATTTCACTGAAAACAGGGAAAAATAAAGAGGACCAAAAAATGAGTGAGTTGGGATTAACTCTGCTTTTAACAGTATTCCAGTCATATCACGGCTTAATGTAGGAGGGAAAGTCCAAAGCGATGCAGGTCTCAGATGTTTATCACTTTGGCAAAACCCACGAGCACGGGTATGGTGCTGTCAAACCTAGAAACATAATCAGGGGGAACCGGGATTTGAAACCACAATCATAGGCAGAGCTCCAGATAAGCTTTTGGTGTTGTGGGTATTTTACCCATGCATTTTAAAATCATTGGGTATCAGTAATTCTATTTGGGTTTTCAAATTTCTGTTACCCACTAGTTGTAACACATGTGGGTATTTAAGTTAAATTTTAAAAAACACTATTCATCTAGTCCCTGCAAACTGGTGCCGTGTGGGTTCGAGAGCTTTATAGGATGATACCACGATACCTCCACAAGAAAGTGTGATGGCAAATGATCATGATGTAACTGACATCATGGAGTTTGGCAAGGTTGACAGAATGCCCGTTTATAATTTTAAAATAAGTTGCTGATTTGCTAATTGAATATGCAGCGTTACTTCACAATATTTTGATGATACGCACAAGTTCTATTTTTGTAGCGTATCTGTAATGTTCGTTGCATATTTGACACGCTTGGATTTTATTTTACTGCGTATTTCTGCATTTCTGATGCGTATTTTACGCAGATACAAAGCTTATCTGGAGCTCTGATAGATTCCTGGCGTGCCAAGGGAAGCAACTCTGCACCGCGAATGCAATTGCAATCCCTTAGACGACCAGGCCACCTCTTCCCCGAGAGAATAAAAAAGGCCTTAATCATGTTAATAGTCCAGCAGAGAGAACAAAAACCTAGAATTGGGGGATTAAGATTTTCTTATTGCTGGATTTGTTTAAGTACACATTCTAGGTTATGAATCTGACTGATGACACTCTGTCATCTTTTGGCATTTTAAAATATTCAAGATGGCCGCTAAAACATGAACATATCTCTTCCGTGCTAGTTGTATGGAATATGGAACTACTTTTGGTTCATATCACTATTGTTGTGCCTTCAACATATTAGAATATGTTATTCTTAAAGAAATAGTTTTATTTGGAAATGTAATTAATCAAAATAATAGGTAACATGTCTATGAAAACCCCCAAATCAGTGTATCTACATTTATTATTATCTTAAGTGTAAACTGGGATGCTTGTGGGTTTCTAAGGATAATAAATATAATATAGATACAAAATAAGATAAATTTACACTGCATGTTGAAATTAAATTACAAAAAAACCCAATAATATTAATAATAATAATAATCATCTGACAACAAAGATCTGATCACGTGAATTAGAAAGGAAGATATGCCAGTGCCCTTTGACAATGAGTCCTGAGAGCCACCAAAGCCTAAATTGCAAGACTGAAGTCACCACTGATACCAGTTTATTTAGAATAACAAATTCTAATTAGTTGAAGGCAAAATATCAGTGATACGCACCAAAAGTAGTTCCATATTCAATACTATTAGCAAGGTAGCAATATTTTCATGTTTCGGCGGCCATCTTGAATATTTCAAAATGCCCAAAGATGACAGAGTGTCATCAGTTAGTTTCATAATCTACAGTACATCATTAAACAAATCCAGCTATGAAAAAACTTTATCCCCTAAATCTGGGTTGGGGTAAAATATTCATTTCTCTGCTGGACTATAAAGCTTAGTCTTACACTATTGCATTGAATCCAATTTTAACATATCTCTAAATTTGTGCCAATGACTACTTAACAAAAATCCAAATTTTGACAAAAATATATTTGCTTGCTACGGGCACTTTGTTTGAAATCTTAGATAAATCCCTGATGCTGGCCTCACATTCTGGTTGACACGGTCAACCAACCATCAACTACACAACTCGACAGCGCCTACCTGTAGTCATAGAAGTCGGTGTATTCAAACAGGACGTCTCCCTCGTGCAGCATCTTGCAATGGCCCTTGTCCACCATGTGGCGCTGGACGGCCTGGGTGTTGTGGAATGTCTTGCCCTTCTCGTTGCACCACAGACACACATGCCCCACGCCTATCTTCTCACCTGTAACCAAAGGTAATCACTCAAATCTGCAATAGCCGTGCATACCTTATATGGCCGTCGGTCACCCGTCGTAGACCGATAAAATTTCAATTTGACCGATGGTTTGTTCAAGTTGTCGGACTTTTGACCGATAGAAATGCTAAGCAAGGGGTCACACGTGGCATAATTTCATGATTAAAAAGTAAAATAGTAAGGATTATTCCTTCTTACGGTATCGATTTTAATGACCAATGAAATGCTCTCATAAAGTTTTGTGTCAACCGACAGAAAGAACAGTACACATATTGTCCTGTTTTCGATCATAGCTTTCAGCATCATACATGCCTTTATTATTATTCATGACACAATACTATTATCATCAGATCACAGGTTTTCGGACATCATACGTTTTCTATCACGAATACTTGCACTATAACGAGGGGTGTGGCGTCACATAGAAATTGTAAATACTCAGATGATGGCTTGTTTTTAAGATAAAGTTGTCCTTTATACGTGAATGAGATGTTTTACAGTTGTTCATGTGATTAGCTAAAAAACTATGAATGTTTCTTCAGCGTCCGGAAACCCATAGCACAGGGTTATATTTCGTATTACTGTTTTAAGTTGTTTTGTTTTTTTCAACAAAAGGTAAGTAAGTAAAGGTAAGTATTTTTCAATTGGCTTCAACATGGAGAAAGGGTCAGACATTGCATGCTTGTGACAGTTGTCCGGGGGATGGGGGGTGAAGTTTATGGCAGTATTGCTCCTACTCCCAGACCTGGCGGGTAGCCGGTTGCACGGAAGCTATGCCCGATCTTTTAAAAGTACTGATTTAACTTCAAAATTTTACTGCATCTGCCATCTTTGCCTATTTGACTTAATGACTTTTGCCATTGTATCTGGCCTTTTGTGTCAAAATCCTTGACGAGTCACATTCATGTCCTACGCCTATCTTCTCACATGTACCAAAGATGAGAAGTAATACCATGTGTTCCCGCTGGCCCCTCCTAATTTTTGTCAGTCCCAACTTTCAACAATTAAAAAAACTTATAAAAATTACCTGGTTTTAATTCATTCAACGTAACATCATCTCTGAAGTAACTTAGTTAGATCTACACGTCATTCACACAAAGTTCGGTCACAAGTTTCTCTTTTTTTTTTATATTTCTAGACTGAGTCTAGAAATATATGTTTAACCTCGAACCAAAGCAAAATGTTATTTCCTTGCACTGGAAATAGACAAGGGGAAACCCTGAAGATAACAGACAAGCTGACTTCATTCGAAAAGTATACTTATATGAATATCGCTGATGTTTTGTTCAACAACAAAGATTTATAAGGTACTTTATTTACTGGTCCAAAGGGACTGGCAGTCACATGAATTACCGGTCCAAGCCAAATTTTACTGGTAAAAAACTGGTAATTACCGGTAAACGGGAACGCTGATAACATACCAAATCATTGACGTCGACATATCAGTCATATCCTGGCCATTCCCAGTTGTCAATCCTGACCTACATGATGTCAAATTGATGACCTACATGATGTCAATTCGATGACCTACATTATGTCAAATTGATGACCTACATGATGTCAAATTGATGACCTACATGATGTCAAATCGATGACCTACATGTGTCAAATCATTGACTTTCATGGGTCCAATCCTGACCCATATACCGTATTTGACGTAATAAGCGCCCCGCTCTAATAAGCTCTAGACATTTGCTAATATATTGGCTAGTGAACGATCCCAATTAGCACCCCTTCCGATTGATCAATGTACACATGACTTATTTATTCGTGTTTAATATGCACTCGTGTGTTATATGTCTCTTAATTATGGGCACTTAAATTCTGAAAAAATATATCTGTTGTATAAAAACATTTCAGGCTGTCAGAATAAACCACAAAATTCTTTCAACTCTATTTTTTTTTACCAAAATAATATTCTAATAAGGGGCCCCTACAGTCAAGTCTCGTTAATCCGACACTCATTAATCCGACAATCGGCTTTATCCGACACTAAAGATGGGAACCAATTAAATCAATGCTATTTAGACCCATTAATCAATCCGACAGTCTCACTCTCCGAATCCGACACACTTAATTTGCAACGAATTACCGAAATCACTCATTAATCAGTCTCGTTAATCTGACGCAGATATCAGAGTATTCCATGGTCATCTGCCCACGAGTAGACAGCCCGTGTTTGATGCGAGACGAGTCGGCTGGTAGCTGCATATTACAAAGCCTGCAGAGATAAACTCTCCTAACAATAAACAAATAATGCTTTAAATTAAGAAAACAGGATAAATCACATGCTTAGATTACCTCAATCTCATTAAAATCAGATACAAGTTCTTGCTATCGGTGAGGACATCCCATTACAGGTCACGTCAGAACAACCTTTCATGAACGAACTATGACCTACCAATGCAATGACTAACAGGAAGTTGACATTAGCCACTTAGAAGCCGCTTTCTTCAGCTTTGCCGTACCAGTTTCAAAGTTGCGAATTCCATTCCAGGCTATGCTTTTTAAAGTATTTTAAATAAGTCATACAGTCCATAATAGTTGTTTTGTGTTAAACTTTAGTGGTTGTATGATTAGAAAACATATTCCGCCAAAAATGTAACATAAGAATATGAATATTTACTATATATTCTTTTATTATGTGTTTGAATTGTTATCTATCATGTAGTTGTGAGATTTCCAAGACATGAACGTTGATACGACTTTATTTCGTTTATCCGACATACTTGTTAATCTGACATAATCATATGCCACCATCGATGTCGGATTAACGGGACTTGACTGTATTTCTAAATTAGAGAGCGCCCTGGGCCCTTATTACGTCGAATACAGTACATCAAATCAATGACCAATATCTGATGTTTCAAAAATATCTAACAGATTACACATTTCAGCATGCCATAACAAAACACAGTAGAAAAAAATATCATTGTGAAAAACGTCACTCTCCTCTTCGTAAAACTTGGATTTAAATATATGCAATGGGTGAGTGAGTGAGTTAAAAATTGACATTGCACTGGCATTATCTCGGCCATATGGCGAGAAATAATAAATGCAATGAAAAAAGAATGTGAATTACCTAGATACGTAATCAGTCCCTCCATGTCGACCATGTACTCAATGTCGGGGATGAAGAAGCTGTGTTTTTCCGTCATGTGACTGACGTTATCCTCCAGGGATGAGGTGACGTAAGAACAGAACAGACATTCCTCCAGGCCCAGCATGTTCTCCTCCCATGAACCTGCGTCTGAACCCTCTGCAAAAGTGAGAGATGAAGCACAATTGTTATGTTGAACACGACGTCCATCTCCTTGTGTGCGTGCGTGAATGCATGTGTGTGTATGTGTGTGTCTGTGTGCGTGCATATGTGTGTGGCTGCTTGTTGTCCGGTCTAATATTGGCTTTAAGTGCTAGCCCATTCAGACACCATGCCGCAGTTTAACATGAATACCCCACTCAGACACAACATACTTACTCCGAGCCGACCATTCCTTGTTTTATCCCCTTAATGCCGAGCGCCCATGAGATTAATGGCAAGTACCATATTTACAGATCACAAAAACGATTTGAATATTTGAATAAATATCTGTTCATTGATTGTGCTTGATCATCAGTAGATCACAATCTCATTGATTTTGTTGTTGGTGGTTTGTTGTTTTACGCCGCACTCAGCAATATGCCAGCTATATGATGGTGGTCAGTAAATAATCAAGTCTGGGCCATACAATCCAGTGATTGATATCATGAGCATTGATCCACGCAATTGAGATCGATGACAAGCTTTAACCAAGTGTACAAGCCTGACCACCCGATCCCATTAGTCGCTTTTTGATAAGCATAGTCACCTTTTACGGCAAGCAAGAGTTGCTGAAGATCTATTCTGTCCCAAATCTTCAGAACAACATTTTGCAAACTTTGACCAACCAATGAAAAATCAGAAAGCAGCTTTCTTAAGCTTTACGGAATTAGTCACAAACTGGCACTTCCATTTCAGACGAGGTTTGAAAAATATAGATTAAAAACTTGCAAACTGAACAAAAGAAAATTCTGGAATGTCTGATATACAATATGTATGACTGACTGACTGAGTATGGTTTTACGCCACTTTTAGCAATATTCCAGCAATATCACAGCGGGGGACACCAGAAATGGGCTTCACACATTGTACCCATGTCGGGAATCGAACCCGGGTCTTCGGCGTCAATATGTATGACCGGGATTGTAGGACATTACTTTCCACAGGCTATGGAAAATCTCTTATGTTTCAAATATTTATCCCACTGAAGGAGAGATCGACAATGATCTTGATGGAATTGGTTGCAACTGCCGATTGGAATACCCTGTGTTATCTGTTTCGAGGTTGCATAATTAGAACACGCATTCTGACTGTCACTTTCCCGATCTGGTATACGACGCTCTGATTGGTCGAATGAAAGGTCATTGTGAAACTACCCATAATTGGAGTGAGTGAGTGAGTGAGTTGGGTTTAATGTCCCTTTTAACAATATTCCAGTTATATGACGGCGTGTCAGCTTAATATGGGAGGAAAGCCCAAAGTGATGCAGGTCTCATGAGCACGGGTATGGTGCTGACAAACCTAGAAACAAAATTGGGGTGAACCGGAATGCAAACCAACATTCATAGGTTTCTGCCATGCCCAAGGGATGCAACTCTAAATAGCGAATCGTGGCGCCTTAGACGACTGGGCCATCCATGCCCCCGACCTATAATTGGAAGTCCTCAGATCTTTGTTTAGTGGTACCGAGAACAAAGATGTGATTTTATGAAATTGCAGAAGAACAATAATTATAACAATGGACGGTTTTATCATAGCATTGAACTTTACAATGCTTGAAGAGATTCAAAAGCAGTAAATCCCTTGGGCATGCCAGAAACCTATGATGTGGGTTCGAATCCCAGTTTGCCCCGAATATGTTTCTAGGTTTGTCAGCACCATACCCGTGCTCGTGGGTTTCACCGAAGTGGTAAACGTCTGAGACCTGCATCACTTCAGGCTTTCCTCCCACATTAAGCTGACACGCCGTGATATAACTGTAATAGCGTTAAAAGCAACATTAAACCCAACTCACTCACTCACTCAAAGGCAGTTAACAGATAATGATAACAATACAAAAATACATGCTTATTCTGAATGCGAGCATAAATAGTGTGTGAAACATTGATTTATTATTTGCACATTAAATCCATATATAGATCTGTCACACAATGTTTGTTTGTTTGTTTGTTTTTGTTTAGTGACACTCAGCAATATTCCAGGTGTAAGACAGCAGTCTGCAAATAATCGTATTTGGGCCAGACAATCCAGTGATTGACATGTATATCGATCTACATACTTTGGATATGATGACATGCATCAACCAAGTCATGATATTTTATCTTCCCAAACTGGCTTTCACAACAGATATGCTTGGATGAGATATCGCCTCAATGGACTTGCACCACAGTTCTTCACAGCCCATTGTGACATCATCGGCTACCATGATGTCAGAATCAAATGACATCACTAATGTCCCTTCCATGGACAACTGTTTACAAAGCATAAAGGTAAGAAGAATGATTTTGGAGGATAAATAGAATCTCACTGGTGTGTCTTTTGACATAAAATATAATAAAAGTTTAAAACTTCTTTGCAAGCCTTGAAATTCTAAACTTATCAAACCATGTTGATATATTTGATATCAAAAGACATGTGGGCGTGATTCTCTACTTAACAACCTAAAAAAACATTCAAAACATTTCAATAATATTCATTAAAATGATGAATGAAAGATAATACTTACCATCTTCAGAGTCCATATCAACATCATCCCCTTCTTTTGACCTCTGGCCTTGCAGCCTCTCTTTCAGTGCCATATTAACTGTATCTTTGTCCCGAATATCAGTCTCGTCTAACCCTTTCTCTGCATTCTTAGCATTCAGCTGCTTAACACGCTGTGCCAGTTTCTTCTCCTGTTTCGCCTCCATCTCCTTGTGTTTCTTCGACTGGATGTGATTATCAAATGCATTTTGTGTGTTGAAGTGCTTCCCACAGATCTGGCAGTTGCGAGCCGTATCCTTTTCTTCATCAGCCAACTGAGGAGAAAGCATCATTTTCAGAGCAACAAATATAAATAACTTATATCATCAACTCCCTTTGAGTATACAAACCAACCTACTTGTGAGAAAGTTAACAGTCACATTACAATCTCATCCTACCGGGTACCCATTCAGTGCTGAACCTGGGACTTGCTTGGTAGCAGAATGTTAGGCTCTTTTGTCATATTGTAGGACGGAACAGGTACCCATCAAACCAACTTGCGAAAATCTGGGTTAGAATTGATCTTCAGCAACCCATGCTTGCCGTGAAAGGCGACTTTGCTTGTTGTAAGAGGCGACCAATAGGATCAGGTGGTCAGACTCGCTAACTTAGTTAATGCATGTCAATTGCATGGATCGATGCTCATGATGTCAATCACTGGATTGTCTGGTCCCAACTCAATTATTTACAGACCACCGTCATATAGCTGAGCGCAGCATTAAACAACAAACAAACAAAAGGACATGACTTAAATTTGGCAAATGAAACAAACCTATCAAACCCACAGATATACTATTGCAAAAACATATGAAATTAAACAAAATATTCCTTTCAAATTATGCTCTTTTCCTTATGCAAATAACATAGTATTGTCTGTTATGCAAGAAAATTAATCGTTTTGTCATAATCTTATGAAAGAATTTCTTATATTAGTTAGCATGGTTAGGCCATTCTTTATGAAAGTGAGAAACTGGAGGAGCGAAAAAAAATATAAAAAGAAGCTGACGATGGTGGCTTCGAGTAACCTCAAAATATTTTTGAGTGCATGATGTGACGGCAGGGAAAAAATATGTGTAAATTTGAAATTATATTTTTTTCCAATTTTTAAAGAAATTAAGGTCAAGGGATCCGTAATCCAACAAATAAAGACATAATGGCCATACATGCCAACCTATTCCATGCATGTACATAAAATATGACTTATAAGTTATATTAAATGATTATTATGTATTTGCCTAATCAAAGTGAAAAGTACAGTCAAGTCTCGTAAATCCGACACTCGGCTTTATCCGACAGTCTCGTTAATCCGACACAGTGATCAGCGTACTCCGTGGTCATCAGCCCACGAGTACACAGCCCGTGTTTTGATGCAAGACGAATCGGCTGGTAGGTGCATATTACAACGGCTGCAGAGATAAACTTTCCATACAATAAACAATTAATGCTTTAAATAAAGAAAACAGGATTAATCACATACTTAGATTAACTCAATCGCATTAAACTCGAAAACAAGTTCTCGTTATTGCCGAGGACATCCAATTACAGGTTACGTCAGAACAACCTTTCGCGAACTATGACCGACCAATGAAAAAGACTAACAGGACGTCAACGCTAGCCACTAAGAAAGCAGCTTTCTTAAGCTTTGCGGTACCAGTTTAAAACTGGCGACTTCCATTCCAGACTATGCTTTTTAAAATATTTTGAATAAGTCACATAATCTGTAAAAGCTTTTTTGTTTTTTTTTCTGTTGAGGTTGAATGATTAGAAAACATATTCCGCTAACAATGTAACATAACAATATGAATATTATTTTATTATTTTTTTTTATTACGTGTTTGTATCGTTATCTATCGTGTAGTTGTCCGATTTTCGATCACGAACGTTGATACTTTTTCGTTTATCCGACATAATCATATGCAACCAACCATGTCGGATTAACAGGACTTGACTGTATATGTTGTCTGTACTCAAAACATGCAAAGAAACATACTCTAATGAGAGATACCTGAGCTCTTTGAGCAAGAACACGCTGTTGAAAATTCTCTGCAGTCACTGGTGGCATCTCCGCTACTTTGCGCTTCAGATTGTAGCGATGCCAGTCGGTCTTGTAGTGTGCTCGCTGCAGCTCAGCATCGGCAAACGCCACTCGACAGGTGATACAGGTATACACAGACATCGTCTCACTGAAAACAAACACTCCATATTTATGACTGGGGCTGGCTATCGATATAGATTATAGAGGTCGATAATCGCTAAATAATTATCAATCAATTATCGATAAATATCGGAGAAGTCCCAAAGAAATCAACATATTTCATGCCACTGGTAAGCAGTGACACATTGCTACATAGGTTATTTTGTGGACATTTGAGAAATAACAAAATAAGTTGTTTTCCGTAAAAAACAGGCCTGTTTCAGAAAATCAAAACTTAATGTCATCACAACAGTATATGTAAGTTATTATCGATGACAACAATTTCATATCCATAATTGCTAATATTTCTTCCAATCAACGATAATTCCGATTATCGATCTTTTTAGCCAGCCCCAGTTACAACTTGAATATGAGCGAATAGATCAGTGTGTGTGTTAATCCAGACAAAATATCATATTCAGGGGACCTGTCTCGCATACATGTTACATCCTCTACTGCTTATACATTTTGTAAATGAAACTGGAGCTGCGATATTTACCACACGAACACCTCTCAGCTAGTACTAATAATCTCTATGTTTTGGTTGCACACCAGTCTGTCTACTAGCCCGGACTTGGCTCTTAGCATCATATTCAGTACATTTTAATGTTGTCAACCAGATCTTTATTTGCTATTGCCTGTGTTGTTATATGGGGGGGCACGGGTGGCCCTGTCGTCTAAGGCGCCGCGATTCGCTGTGCAGAGTTGTGTCCCTTGGACACGCCAGAAACCTGTGATTGTGGGTTCGAATCCCGGTTCGCCCCGATTATGTTTCTAGGTTTGTCAGCACCATACCCATGCTTGTGGAGACCTGCATCACTTCTGGCTTTCCTCCCACATTAAGCTGACACGCCGTGATATAACTGGAATACTGTTAAAAAGCGGTGTTAAACCAAACTCACTCACTGTTATATGGGGCGAAATTTTGGGGGGGTTCATGGTGTGAATGGTGTGAATTGCGGGGTCTCGGTCAACCATGCTTGAAAATTGTACAATCCCTGTGAATAAGACTACATGGTTGTTGGTAGTAAATACAGTACACCTACTTTTATAATTTATCTTGTAAAATATTGGCGTTTGTCACTTAATTTGTCATAAAAAATATTGTTAAAATCTGGGAAAGGAGGTGAGGTGGTGATATGGGGTTTAACACTTATTGCACTTATATAGCGACGTGCATGTACGTGTGTGTGTTTTTGTGTGGCTGCTTGTACTAGTCGGGACTGATGCCGATTTATGGTGCTAGCTCACTGAGATACCATGCTGCAGTTTAACATGAATACCCCACTCAGACACAGTCTACTGACTCCGAGCCGACCAGTCCTTGTTTTAGCCCCTAAATGCTGAGCGCCAGACAGGGTAACAACAAGTACCAGCTTTTAATGTCTTTTGGTATGACTCGGTCGGGGATCGAGCCCCGGACATTCCGCTCTCCGGGCGGATGCTCTACCACTAGACCACGGAGGGGGTCTCTGGGAAATGAATATCTCCTTCGTACTATTTATTTATCATGTTTATAGACACAGGTCTTTTCAACCCTATATGGGAGGTTTCATATACTTTACTAGGGGTGAAACGATACAGCGAGGTCACGATACAATATGTATCAAGATACATAAGTCACGATGTGATATATTTATTTGAAATCATGTGGAAACATTTTGTTTATAAATATTTCAGAGCAGGTTCCAAAGGAAAAGCTAGCTGTAGACACATGTTTGTAGCGGCTTTTTTTAGTAGTGAACTTGAAAAGCTAATGATGCTAATTACAACACACTTTGCAATATTTGACTGACAAAACCCTGGGTTGGGGTCATTAAACAAGTAGTAAGCAATTTATTTTAGCAAGTGTATCGTCTTGTATTGATACAGAATAAAACGCATCATGTATCATGAAAACTCACGATGCACTGGAGCATCATTTCACCCCTAAATACCACAACTGTTGTGTTCTGAAGAAAACATCGTAATAGCAATGACATAATTAACAAGTCATCTTCTCCCATCTTATCAATGGCAGTCATGAATGGTAGAATCATCACTACATGTGCATCAGGCTGACCTCGACGGACATATTTACTATTTTATTACGTATTCGACGTAATAAGCGCCCCGCTCTAATAAGTGCCCAGGGCGATATTTGCTAATATATTGGCTAGTGAACAATACCATCTAGCACCCCTTCCGATTTATCAATGTACACAAGACTTATTTATTCCCGTATAATACGCACTCGTGTGTTATATGCACCCTTAATTATGGGCAATTTAATTCTGGAAAAATATGTCTGTCGTATATAAACATTTCATATAAACCACGAAATTAGTTCTGTTTCAGAGTTATTTTCACCCAAATAATTTCTAATTTTGAGAGCGCCCTGGGCGCTTATTACATCGAATACGGTATATTATGACATAATAAAAATTACTTCTGTGAAAACGGGAGGATAGTGAGTTTAATAAGACTTAAGTGACCATTTGAATACTGACATTAGCAAGATAAATATGTAAATGAGCGTGTAACTATCAGCTGAGGTGTACATCTAAAAAATCTTGCTTATATCTTGTTTTAATTGGCCTTTGTCAACGACCAAACACATACAGTATATCACCATATGAGCATGTGGTGGGCCCTGCTTGAACGTACAATGTAATCAACTGAAGTTTAGCGGATAAGTCGAGATATCTGCTGAGAATGTAGGACTACATTCATGAACTGATTCAGGTCCGAAACTATATGACATATGTGTTATGCCATTTAAACTACCAACTAAATACATACCATGCACAAGCACTGTGTCGGCTGAGAACTGTTATTATGAAATGTCACTATCTCCTGTCGGTCTGTGTATTTTCAATGGGCTACAACCACATAAAAACATTAACACGTGTGGCAAAATCTTGTGCAATGCACTTGTCAATTTCAAAATAAATATGCCTACAACTATTTACAGTTAATGGCCTAGGACAGATACAATATCAATTCAGTTCCAAATAAAATTATATATATATATACCTTTAAAACATTATTTTGTAATTTACACAAGTACTACACTGTAGATATCTGTTTATTATTATATTTTATGTGATTTCTTATATTGTATTTTAAGAACGTGTACTAGTTGTTAGGAAATAAACTTTCATCTTAGACATGCGCCGTCGCTTGCAAACCCTTTTTCCTCTTCCGCTGCAGACTCGAAAAGATGGTATGGGAGATATTATTTTCAAGTGTATTTATCCACCTAATCCGACTTCATCAACGGGCTAATTTGGAAACATGGTTTTGTAACTTGAATAAATGTATATGTATATACATTGTTCTGAGTATTAGCGTCCCACAATAAAGATATATCGTATGTCACACATTTTGATGGAGCCTGCGCTTGTCGTACATAAACAGACATGGGCTAGGCCTAATACAGTAATAGATCGTAGAAAATTAATGACAATTACTGTCGCAAACTTAATCGTGTTTAGCAATTTCCTTTTTAGAATATATCCGCAGTAGTTTCGGAATGATTTATTGCTATTTATTCACAGTATTTATGTTACGAAAATCTTGCTACCACTTGCATTAGCCTCATTGATCCTGATTTGTAGTATTATATAGAGAGGTGTCTCAGCATCAAAACTGCCAACTTGACAGTGCAAACATGCGACCTGTCAACATTGGTTTTATGTGAAGTACTGTACACCCATTAGAACAGACCGTCGTCTTTTCAGAATTTTTGTAAAGAGTGAAATTGTGTGGCTGAGCACTTAATTTGACAAACATACATATTTTGTGAAAATGTTTTGAATTTGTCGTCGTTAATCTTTTGTCAATTATTCTTACAGTGTTACACGTACACACACACACACACACATAGAACCTGTACAAAGTGGTGCCCAGTGCAGCTTCCGCGAGTTTCTATAGTTTTACAAGGAAGGGAAGTGTTTTCATTTTAAGACCCGTGAAGATTCCGCGGTAGAATAGGGGACTAAGCTTGTCGTACGAGGCGACTAACAGGTTTGGGTGGTCAGGCTGGCTGACTTGGTTGATGCATGTCATCGATCCCAATTGCGTGGATCGATGCTCATGATATTAATCACTGGATTATCTCGTCCAGACTTGATTATTTACAGACTGCCGTCTTTTAGCTAGAATATTGCTGAGTGCGGCATTAAACAAGAAACAAACAAAAATATAATTTGAAATTCAACGACTTGGAAGTCCAAACTTTAGAAATCAGGATCCATCAAAGTTGTGAGCTGTAAAAGTCCAACATGTTTCAAATAATTTCAACACAAAACATGAATGTGCTAACTAATTAGAGTGTCTCTCGTAAATGTTTAGACACCGTCAGGATTGAAGATCTGATCATTGTAGTCAGGGCTCAGTACCTCATAACATGCATGCTTGTTTCAAGAGATGACAGAAATGGAGATTGTATGGTCATGGTTTGACAGATGTTGATCATGTATAGGCTGCCATGATACATGTTGAATATTGCTGGCTGAGTAATTAAACAACAAATAAACGTCTTCATTGTCATAGTGTAGCCTGCTGACACTTACGTTTCAAATATTGTTTTGCAAAGATTTAAATGTTTTTTTGTTATTTGGAAACCATTAATTGTAAGAAATAATGCATTTTCTCTTGTGGGGAATCGGGGTTGGCATAGATCCTCATGCTTTATGGATTGGATGGTCCGTTTTTGTAACCATGATTTGATCAATAGTATAAATATCTACACTTGTCGCCATTACTTTCTGAGTAATAAGGTGATAATGGAGGGTGATACAGGTTCATGTTGGTGCAAATTTACTGTTTATCAAGTGCCAAATGCCTCTGGAAAATACAATATTTACGAAAGTTCAACACTGTGTCATATGTCGAATGTGACTTGTATATTGTCCCCAAGCCTATCCCTGTTTGCAGACGTTTTCCATGAAATAATTCATAATTGTTAAATAATATCTTTTCAAATTGTTTTTGTTTTTGTAATAGTAAAAGTACAAATTTCTATTTTCTTTGGACCAGAAGTACGTCTCTTTACATTTGTCATGCTAAGCAATTAGTCATCTGGCAATTTTGTGGTAGGGATACGTAAGTGGTAGTAGACACAGTATTGATGGTATGTAAATATTGTTTCATCCCAAGTGTTTATAAACACCAGACTTGTTTATTTACAGATTAGCATCAAATACGTGGAATAGTGTTAAGTGCAGCGTTATGCAACATCAAACAAGCCAATCATTTTAGTAATCTTTATGATCATCTTTGCAGTATTAGGACCTATTGTGGCCTGGAATCCCTGCAAAGTTATAATGATCGACTTTCTTAGCTTCACCATGGTTTACACAAATAGTGTTATATATTTGAATGTCTTTGTTTCAGGCCAAGCGTACAAAGAAGGTTGGCATTGTTGGAAAGTATGGTACCAGATATGGTGCCTCTCTTCGTAAGACTGTCAAGAGAATGGAAATCTCACAGCACTCCAAATATACCTGTCAATTCTGTGGAAAGGTATAACTATTTATGTTTTGTGTATTGTTATGTACATGTCGTTGACATGTTAGAATTATTAGATAGTCTGTATCTTTTACCTTCCTTTCACTATAAGGCTTGCGACAAGTGGCATGCTTTGCTTCAGCCTATAATGATTTAGCCTGCACAGATTTACACTGTGTACACCAGTTTCCATAATCTCCATAATCAGAAAAAATATTGAATTGAATTATTTATTAACCGTTGACACAATAAACTTTCAGTTAATTTCTTACCAGAACAGTGTTAGAAATTGGCACTAGTCCTGTAGTCCTTGCCCAATAGTTAAGGTATCATAAGGACTAGTAGAATTGAGCCTTTTTTAACATGTTTAAGGGTTTTGCTATATGTTATCATTATAAGGACTAGAGGACTAAAAATGTTAGTTTCTTCCGCTCCCAGAATTGAAATGTCAGTTGCTTTTAAAAGTTGACAACTTTGATTAATCTTAATGATTCAAACAGCCATACTTATATGCATCCCCAGGACTTGCAATGTAAATAATTTGTGTCCTTTCTTATTTTTATGCATGTAGTATGTAATATTTTGTGACCCCTAAAAGCACTAAAACCCAGCCTGTTTAGTCTGTGGGTTGAGGAGAATGACTAGGTGCTTCCTAAGCTGGTGTTTTGTGTTACAGGACAGTATGAAGAGGAAAGCAGTGGGCATCTGGTTCTGCTCCAAGTGCAGGAAGATTGTCGCTGGTGGTGCATGGGTATACAGGTGAGTTTCTCACTACTGGGATTCACAACATCCTATGCTTGTCACTGAGCTGGCTAAATGTGTATGACTCGGCTGGTGTGTGTATTTGTACCATGACAGTGCTATTATCCTGGGCCGAGGGGTAGCCTAGTGACTAGGGCTCTTGCTCGTCAATCTGAAAGCCTGGTTTGATTCCCCACACGTGTGAATATTGTGAAGCCCATCTTGTATCCCCTGCCTCACTGATGCTGCTGAATAATGCAAGAAACTGGCGTAATGGCATGCTCACTTGCTCATGCCATCAACTCCTGGTTACCTGGTACCTGTGAAGATTCCGGGGTAGAATAGGTCTTCTGCAACCCATGCTTGCCGTAAAAGGCAACTATGCTTGTCGTAGGAGGCAACTAATGGGATCGGGTGGTCAGGCTCGCTGACTTGGTTGATGCATGTCATCGATCCCAATTACATGGAGCGATGCTTATGATGTCAATCACTGGATTGTCTGGTCCAGACTCGATTATTTACAGACCGCCCTCATATAGCTGTAATATTGCTGAGTGCGGCCTGGTAGGTGGCCCACACAATTATTTACTTTCTGATGAGTTATGGATGGAATATCCCTTTTTTTTGACACTGGTTTTGTTGTTGCGTGGATCGATGCTGATGATGTCAATCACTGGATTGTCTGGTCCAGACTCGATTATTTACAGACCGCCCTCATATAGCTGGAATATTGCTGAGTGCGGCATTAAACAACAAACAAACATACCTAGGTGACCCTTCATTAATGATGCTGAGTATATTTCAACAAGACTGAAAAGTGTGTTTCAGCTTTAGACGATAAGGTTGAAAACATTCACATGATTCAGTTGGGATAATACTATATAGAGGAACTGGACTGGATTTTCCATTCTTCACCCCCTAATTGTACTTTGACTTCTTTGTTTCGTCTTCCAGCACAACTGCAGCTGCAACTGTTAGAAGTGCCATCCGTCGTCTGAGAGAAATGAAAGAGTCCTAAGCTGTAAATACCCAATAAAAAGTCGCCACAACGTTCACTGTTGGTTATCTTCATATGGAAATGACCCTTGAAGAGATCCGGGGTAGAATAGATCTCCAGCATGTCTTTGATTTATTCACACAGATACTGAATCAATTAATGGTGAAGAGTAACTGTCTGAATTCTTCAATACAGTGATTGCAGACACTTGGAACTGTGACATTATCTGTACTAAGCCAGAGCTACAGATAAGCAGTGTACCTGCATAAAATAACCTCCTAAAATATTCAAAAAACAATTACTTTCAGTTAACTTGTGTACAGAAACGCATGCATTAAATGAAAAACTCAAATGTATAAAAAAAGCATGTGTAAATACCCAATGAAGATTTTTCAGCATGTGTACAAAGGAGCTAATTTCCGTAGCACAATTAAGAGCTAATTTACTTTCCGAGTCAAGCCTATATATTTAGAAAAGTTATGGTAAAATACATCTAAAACATTATTTCATTTTTTTAAAATCTTCAAATGTTGACTCGTTTGGGGAAAAATCCCATAGTCATGAATAGATGAGTAAAAAAAATTGTAACCCAATGAAAAATGTAATAACTCAATTAATATAGAAACCCTAGAGTCAAAACTCATAGAAAGTTATCTGGAGCTAATCTACTTAGTCGGACTCTCCTTCAATGATGTATGCCTCTTTAGAAAATGTGTGCAATTCAACAAACAGAAGTTTATTATGATTATTAATTCATCATAAGCAGTAAAATGTTCAAGATCTTCTGTAATTGTCTTATGTATGATAGGGTGTAAACAATAAGTCAAATTCAGTTCATTCATGTATGTTTGAAAACAGTTTTTGAGTGATCATTTTCCATTTACTTTGGGTGCATGAATCTTATGTATCCATATTATATACCATAACGAGGTTTCATTTGATATGTACTATGCCCATGTGTAACAGTATCAAAGACAGGTGTATATTTTGAAATAAGAAATGGATGAAATATTGAAATCCCAAGATGCCTGCCACAAAAGTTAGTGGAAAAACTGGCAACATCATTTTTCTTAATCAGTGATTGGGGCACGGGTGGCCCAGTCGTCTAAGGCGCCGCGATTCGCTGTGCAGAGTTGTCCCTTGGGCACGCCAGAAACCTATGATTGTGGGTTCGAATCCCGGTTCGCCCCGATTATGTTTTGAGGTTTGTCAGCACCATACCCGTGCTCGTGGGTTTCACCGAAGTGGTAAACGTCTGAGACCTGGGCCCCGATCCACAAAGCCTTCGTAACTTACACATATCGTAAGAGTTTATGATTGAAATTAAGATACTTTTACTAATATTTACGACCGATCCACAAAATAATATTTGTTTTATTGTTACCTCACTACTAATGGAATTGGATCTTGATGAATCTTGGTAAACTGTTTATTCAGACCCATTTATTTGTGTTATTTGGATAACTATGTCAAATGGGAATCATTCTGACTGATTCTCTCCCCAGTGACAGTCCTTTGTGTGGCCCAGTGGTGTTTGTCATGCCAGGACCTGCCTGTTACAGGTTCAAAGACCAATCATAATACATAGCTTGTCATCCTCGTACAGTGCTTATGCATTTCATTAGTGGGAAACCACTACAAGCCTCTGTCACTTTGAGCAGACGCAGTGTGATATGAATGAAACACTGGCTAAAGCAGAGTTAAACTCAACTCACTCACTCACTGATTAGGGGAATAAAAACATAAGACAAAATTGTGCCTGCAATTAAAATCGTATTTATTAAATCCATAAAAAATAAGTTGTCTTATTAATTGTGTGTCACATATTTCAAGGGGAAAACAAATACATTGTTTTACACTTAAAGTGGCCTCCACCTCCCCATATAGCCACACCTTCACCACCAAAACATATCCACTGAAATAAAAAATAGTAATCATGGTAATTACTGGCAGTTCAAATTAGCAACAGGCAGTCTGTACATTGTTGATATATATACTTACCATGCAGATTATACATATCAATAAACATCAGTGATTTGTTATGACTGCTAAGTTGTGCAGTAAAACCAAATTTGGCAGATTTGTATTTATTTTTGAACAAGCAAACAATTACTAGTAAAGGTGGCCTCCACCTCCCCTTATAGCCACACCTTCGCCACCAAAACATATCCACTGAATAAAATAACACTAATCATGGTAATTACTGGCAGTTCAAATAAACAACAGGCAGTCTGCACATTGTTGATATACTTACCATGCAGATTATACATGTTGTGTGTACCTTTATAATGTAATAGCAAGAGAGAGATGTATAAGTGAAGTAAACTTGGCTTTATGAAATACTTATCAATGAACACCAGTGATTCAATATGATGGCTTAGGAGTGCAGTAAAACCGAACTAATGACATATTTGTATTTATTTTTTAACAAGCAAACAATAACTAGTAAAGGTGGCCTCCACCTCCCCTTATAGCCACACCTTCACCACCAACAAACATATCCACTGAAATAAATAGCACTTGTTGCACGTTATGCTGAGGAAAGAAGGGAGGGGGTTACCATACACAGGATGCCCTTGCCAATAAGAACAAGGGTTGAGGGTGTGCAGGTCCTGGTGCTATGAAACTTCCAGTTAATTACATGAAAAGCTACTGTGGCAACTACCTCTGTCAATGTCAATTAGCAGCTCCCTCTGCTTGCCCAAGGCAACTAACGTTGTAAAAGGATTGTGGTAACTTCCGCCGCCAGTGACATGATACCTTCCACTGTTGGCCCTGGTAGCAACTACTGCTGCTTGGAGAAAATAGCAGCTAATGTTGTAAAAGCATCGTGGCAACTACCGCTAGCAGGGACATGATAACTACCGCTGCCGGCCTAAATGACAACTACAACTTGTGGGCCAATATATGTGGCAATTGGTTGCCCAACTTAAGCAATGTTTATGATGCCACAAGTGAAAAACCATGAAAGACCATGTTGCCAATGAAAAGCAGGTAAACTCCTAAAATAACAGATCTTTGGTGATAGTGAATTATGAGGAATGCTAATTACTGCCAATTACTGTCAGTATGTAGCACGCTCGCAACCCAAGTACCAAGTTGTCCGACTCCCCATTGTTCTTGGTGCCTTAGGTTTAGTACCTCCAAATCTGTTGACTGACATTGGGAGAGTACCCGGGTATGTTGCCAGAAATACAGCCCTGGGTAATGCAGAAGACTGCAGTGTTAGGGAGTCTTAACATTCTCAGAAATGTTCTGGGACGGTTTAGCTTGGCAGCCCTTCCTGGGAGAAGTCCCATTTGCTGTCTGGGCTGTGTGTAGAGGAGGCAAGGACCCTGAGCTGATGATGAGCCTAACAAGCCTGACTGTGCCAGATCAGTCAAATCAAATTGGCTGCATTTTTTGTTTTACCCGTAAAAAATAATAATAATAATAATAATAATAATAATAATTATAATAATAATAATAATACCATCTTTGCCTTGCTGGTGGTTTTGACACAGAGGTCCATCCATGGTAAGACCCGCAAGGGCGTCATGGAAAATCATCAATACAAAATTCTTTGGAATAGGCCTCACGCCTGTCCAGGCCAACAAACCTGATCTGGACCTTTTTGAAAAGTCTAATGAAATCATTTTTGTTATTGAATTTTCTGTCTCTTTTGACACTAATGTGATTGACAAGATGGAGGAAAAACATGGCAAATATGCAGACCTCGCTTTCGAAATGTCACGCTTACATCCCAAGAACCAAGTTGTCCAACTCCTCATTGTTCTCGGTGCCTCAGGTTTGGTACCTCCCAATCTGTTGACTGAAATTGGGAGAGTACCCAGGTTTGTTCCTGGGAATAAAGCCCTTCTGACAATATGTGTATTGCAGAAGGCTGCAGTGTTGAGGAGTTTTCACTTTCTCCAAAACATTCTTAGTGGGTTTGACTAGGCAGTGCTTCCTGGAAGAATTCCCATTTGCTGTCTGGGCTGCGTGTAGAGGGGGCAAGAACCCTGAGCTGATGATAAGCCTAACCAGCCTGACTGTGCAAGGATCACCCAAACCCAATTTGCTGCATTTTGTGCTTTAATCTAATAATAATATCTCCTGCAGGACATTCAGCAAAGTCATTTGCACGAGATACAGTGTGTGCTAAATACAGGCGTCAGGCTCAGCACACAATGCCTAATTACCAACCACATAACTATGGTCCTGAAAGAACTGCATTGGCTACCAGTTAGACTGGGAATCTTGTCACTGACAAATCTCTTTCACAGAATCAGATTATGGTTCCAGCAGGTTGTATTTGGGATGCAGACAATCATTTAAGAGTTTCTGGAAAGAGTAGAAGGGCAGGTGGATTTTTGGCTGGAGATGGGTCACTGTTATTGAACACAGATATATATGAAGTTCAAACTAAATCTTGAGTCCTGAGCCAAGGAAGGGGTCACCAAGGTGGATGGAGTTTTGTCTGGAGCTAGATCTTGGATCTCTGTTGCTGGACACAGCGTGGTGTGAAGTGATATATAGATCTGAAATGAAATGAAGCCAAGGTTCACAGCAGGAGAGTCACTGCAACCTTCATTAGATTATTATCCTGGGACAAATTCAAGGAAGAAATCTGTAGAAATACAAAAGAAACCCGACATGAGAACAGGCATTAAAAGTGCAGAAGTGTGTGTGTGTGTGTGGGGGGTATGGTAATAGTAAATTGTTTCTTTCTGCTTTTACATGTTTAGTATATTTTGAGCTCTTGCCAAAACTTTCATTCATTCTGGCTGATATCTTGTGACTGGATTCACAGCTGAAAGGAATAGGCTATGAGGATGGATTCACTGAAATCCTCAATACTTGATACTTGGCTGATGGTCTGTGACAGGCTGGAACCACTGCTCCCAGGAACAGGGCTGACAATGGATTTCATCAAAGTCTGGCTGTAGTCTTGTGACAGGTTGCTTTCACTGCTGAAGATGGAATCATCCAAATCTGGGCCCAATGACGTCTGGCTGATTGTTTCTTCATCTAGGCTGCATGCACTGGTAACTGAAGGCAGCCTGAAGGTGGCATC